TCAACCCTAGCCCCACATAGTTCAAGTAGGTGACTTTTTGGATAGACTTGTAGGGCTGGTTTCGTCTCTTCGTGCAGTTCCTAACACTCTGAAAACCAACCCAAACTGCGCCGGATAATGGCCAGAAATCTGATGATGCATCTTCGCGAGCGAAAGATGATCGCCTCTGGCTTAGCTGAAAGGATTTCACGCCGCATGTCCACTTATGCCCCTAGTTGGTAGGTCCTGGAACCACCACCACACTCAACGTAATTGATTCATTTTTATTTTTTTTTTAAATTCAACTTGAAAAATGAAACTAAATTGATAAACTTTTTTTCGTTCAAATTGTACCAAATTCGGTCGACATTTCAATCCATGTTTCATCTTTAGTCTCCTTTATTTCAATTCTTTTTGAACCTTTCAATTCATAAGGGTCTCAATTTCTTCAAATGAACAAAGACATATTGATTCTAACAACCAATTGCATAGTCGATCATTCAAACCTTTCAATTATAACAATTGATTGTAGAGTTGATCATTCGGACCTTTCAATTTATAGCTTTTCTTTTTGTTAATGTTTACTTTGTAGTATTGAATTTTGCTTTGTCCTTTGTCAATTGAGGATTTGTGGATGTTAGTTCATAGTACAATCGTATTCTGACATATATAAAGTTTATAAAAACACAATTGAAACACCTAAACCGTTAAGATCTCTTACTCTATGATTTATCTCCACTTTAAGATTTACAATGTACATAAACATCCATCCGAGTTATCTCCATAATTGAGTTGTCCGTTTTTCAACTACGTTTTTTCATGACGCTCTTTAACGGAGAAACTCCAGATCAAAACTCCAACTATGTTTCGCCGGAAATCCCAAACTCCGGCAACCTCAACCCTGCCCCCAACAGTTCAAGTACATGACTTTTTGGATGGACTCGTCAGTTTGGTTTCGTCTTTCCTCGCAATTTACCAACATTCCGGAGAAACCCGACCCAACTGCGCCGGGTAACGATCGGAGGTCCGATGATGCTTCGTCGCCAAAGAAAGATGAGCACCTCCGGTTTAGCTGAAAGGATTTTAGGCCGGATTTCCACTTATGTCCCTGGTCTGCAGGGCCTTGCACCACCGCCACGCTGGGCGCCATCCAAACTCGGCTCAATTGATTCGTTGTGAAAAGATTTTGTTAACTTGAAAAATGAAGGTGAGATAGTCGTTCGTTTGATGCTTGTGTCGTTTGGGTGTTGAACTGTGGAGACATAGACGATTATTTTATAGGCAAAGGTAGGAAGTGAATCTTCGTATTTTGTGAAACCGGTGGTTTATGGACGATTGGAAAGTAGTTTTGGGGAAATAAGTTGTGAAATCCCATCCCGGAATTTCACTATTCGTTCCGAATCTCGTATTTTAAATTCGTATTTTGCGATTACATTATCTTTATTAGTTAATTTTAATTCCGTTAATTTTAAGTTTAGTAATTGATTAGTTTTTGAGTTGGAAGATTCATAATCAATCTTTATCTTTCATTGACATTTCGAAGTTACAACTAGTGTTTTTTTTTAATAGATCTCGAATCCACGAACGCATGGGTGAAAACCATTTGCGAGTCCGAATTCTAACGGTATAGCTATGGACGTTTGAAGTTATGAAACTATAGATTGTGAGACTTATTTTAATTTCCACTTAGGAAAAAAAAAAAAAAAAAGGGCCCAAACATTTTTTTTGGGGTTAAAGGACAGGCCATTTAAGGGGAAAAGGGCAAACATTAGATGGGGGAATTGTTTCCATTTCGCGAACAGGCACCACAACACAACACCTTCAGCCGGTCCAAACTCAGCCATCTTTCACCATAATTTCAGGTAATCTTCAATCATCCCACACCTGCCACATCTTCCATCACCTTCCATCTTCCATCTCCACAAAAAAAAAAAAAAAAAAAAAAAAAATCAAGGGTTTTAAGGCCTAATTCGGGTGGAACTCCACAGGAAAGATCGAGGGTTCTCGACAACGAATTGTCATTCTAGAGCGTATCATCATCCACTATTACCCTTAATCAACTTCCTTTGGACCCAGAAACTAGACCCAACTGGTGGTTGGGCGTTGGAACACCAAGGAAGCCGAAATTAAGAACACCCATCTTAGGGTTTTCGTCGGGTGTGAGCCAATTTGGGGGCTTTCCCGGCCAAATTGGACTTGCATGCAGGTATAAAATTTACTTTAGTTGTTGAGATCTTTATTTCTGTAAAATTTGAGAAATTTTGGTGAAAGTCGAATTTTCCGAAGTGTGACATTCGAATTATGAAAATGTTGTTAGTTGAGCGTATTATTGATAAGGTCCGCCACTTGATTATTCTAATGATTGACGATCTTACCATTGAATTGACATCAAATTTTAGTATGCTATGGTAGATATTGTTTAAGGATCTTAAGGACTTACTAGTGAAAATCTAGTGATTGGATCTTACGGAGCAAATGACGTAAGATCATGGACCCTACCTCAGAACTGACATTTCGATTCCTCAGTAAATGTCGTCTTAGGAGACTTAGTTTTGGGTAGGTGAATTTATCGAGAGAAACCTAAATGTGGATTTGTGCTTTGTTTTAGGTGGTGACAGAGTTTGATGCCTTGAATTCCATGCTTGAGTGCGTTAGTGTGGATCTCAGGTGAGTGATTTTAATCTCTGTGATATGATTATTACTTTGAAATCTTTCGGACTAATAAGCTTTGTGATTACACCATGGGTTCTTAAAATAGGTCTTATGTTAAATAATTGTTGTTATTAAGTTGCCATCGATCTACTTATGAAATATTATGTGAATTGGATATTTGAACCGTGATGGATTGTGTTTTGGATTATATATTTGATGGTTTGATAAAAAGGAGGGATTGTAAAGGACCGTTACCCTAATGTCATGAGGTTAGGCAACACTAAGTTTGCACTATGTAGTAATGGTACATGGATGGTCTTGCTTGGTTAATCCGCGTAAGTGGACCATACTATTTGTGGATCGCGCTTGGTTAATCCGCGTTGGGCGATCCTTATATCCTAGGTATGGCCATACACATTTAGAGGTGATCATGCTTGGTTAATCCGCATTGGGTGATCACTTCTCAATAGTTATATAAGTGACTCTGCTTGGTTAATCCCCTTTGGGGGGTCACTACCTACTTGGTTACTTTCTCAGGGGTGACTATGCTTGGTCAATCCACTTTGGGGGGTCACTACCTATTTGGTTACTTTCTCAGGGGTGACTCTGCTTGGTTAATCCGCTTTGGGGGGTCACTACCTACTTGGTTACTTGCGTAGGCTTCAGGCTGAACGATGTCTCTCTAACTCTAGTTTGAATGTAGCTGTGATTGTGGCTTCAAGAACTTTGGAGTGTTGATTTAGAAAAGTCTTTGGATGTATGTGTGACTCCTTTGGAGTTTGCAAGGTTTGGTAGCGATTTCTTATGAATGAATTATATTCAAGGGTTATAAATTGTGAATGACAGCTGATATTATCAATGTATCATTTACATTATATTATTTGTCGCTCACACAAGTTTCGTAACTTATCCGGGTTGTTGTTTGCCGGTGCACCATTCCGATGGTGTAGGCACTGATCTTACAGGTAACAAGTCTGAGTAGCCTTCGAAAGGCTCGTAGGTGGGGTAGCAGTACAGTTATCAGAGTTTTGGAGTGCTAGGTTACCCCTATATCTTATCTTGTACCTTATTTTGGGACCTTCTTTTGAGTACCTCAAACTTGTTCTTAGTAAAGCAAAGATTATGCTTCTTTTTGGGATGTACATATTTGTAAATAGATTATGAAGAACGTAGCCACCTTCTTTTTATTTTGGGTTGCAGTTAAAGTATTTTATTTTGTATGGTGTATATTATTCAACGAATGTTTTTTTTTTCCCTTGGCCACGTGTCGGGATTGAGGCGTGACAATTTTGTGGTATCAGAGCTTAGGTTCAGGGTTTCATACCTTAACCTTAGAATGAGGAAGCCTTGGGAGGTTGGGTAGTGAACCTTGACTAGGTCCGTGAATTCGTCTCTCGAATGTTGTTTATATGCTTATGTTAAATTCTTTTTGCATCAGACATTATGATGACCCCATATGGTACTACTCAGCAGTTTGGGGATGATGTCCCCGATGAGGGCACTCCTGCTTCTGGTCAAGAGGCTAGCCATGATTATGATGGACCCGATAGAGCTTTCCGGGCCATTGAGGATTCGACACAGTTGATGCAGGTTTACGTTCGAGTAGCTTCTAGTAAGGAGAAGTCTTTGTATGGGGAGTTCCGTACCCATAAGCCACCTTCCTTTGATGGTAGTGTCGATCCATGGGCGACTGAGTCCTGGATTAATCAGATCGCCAGAATTTTCACAGTATTGCGTTGCTCATCCGGGGAGCAGGTTGATCTTACAACGTATATGTTGACCGGTGAGGCCTACGAGTGGTGGCAGATCACTCGTCCATTATTAGTAGCCGGGGGACCACTTACTTGGGAGCGGTTTCAGACCGTATTCTTTGAGCAATATTTCCCAGAGTCATTCTGAGATGAGTTAGAGGAGTTTGCCACTATTGAGCAGGGTACCGATACAGTGGCTGATTATATGGCTCGTTTTAATCGACTTTACCATTTCTCCCAGCCTCTTCCTGAAGATAAGAAAACAAAGAAACTTATTAGAGGGTTCGAGCCTAGTGTCAGAAATTTATTATCAGTCCAGGGATTGCTTTCTTACGCCCAGGCGATTGATCGTGCACGCACAGCTGAGAATAATGAGGAGCGCAATGCACGAAAGGGTGGAGAACAAAGGAAGAGGCCCAGTCAGAGGGTCAGTCATCTAATGCGTTTTCGGGTAGATTTCGGAAGTGCCAGGGATCTTCATTTGGTGGTTCACAGGGATCGTCGCGTAGTGGATATCAGGGCACTTCTCATGGAAACTTACAAGCTACTTCTAGAGGAGGCTCTCTGCATTTAGCTGGGGTGAGTTAACAGGGCCGTTTCCGTGGAGGTACTCATAGCATGTTTAGACGTGGACCCCAAACTTCTTCTGGAGGTCGTTCACAGAGTTTTTCCAGGGGATCTCATGACCAGCCACATAAGACGCTTTCACGGATTTGTGCTCACTGCGGACGCCGCCACCATGGAACATGTAGAGACGGTACTAGGACTTGTTATCAGTGTGGTGAAATGGGCCACTTCATACGTGATTGTCCCCAGATTACTGCTAGTGGTGCTGGCAGACTATCTGCTACTGTTGGGGGTTCAGTAGCATCTTCGGGGCAGAGTAGGCCTGCTGGGGCATCTTCAAGCTTGGGCCAGCCGAGAGTAGGACAACAGAGTGGTAGACAGTCTGGTGGAGGTTCTCAGTGAGTTGGGGTCCATAGCAGTGGAGTTGGGACGTCTCAGGCAGGTACTTAGCGAGTTGGCAGAGTATATGCATTGTCTACTTTGGAGGCCGAGGCGGAGCAGAACACAGTTACAAGTACTATTCATTTTGATTCAATCCCTGCTAAAGTATTATTTGACCCTGGGGCTAAAAACTCATTTATATCAAATAATTTTGTGAAGTCTTTGGATAAACCTATAGAAATGATGGATGTGACGTACTCTATTTCCTCACCTTTCTCGGGACCTTATGTTGTTAATCAAGTAGTTCGATTGTGTGAAGCTCGTGTAGGCAGGGATTAAATAACAATGGATTTGATAATTCTTCCGATGCGAGATTTAGATGTTATTATTGGCATGGATTACTTGTCCTTGTATCGCGCGAATTTTGATTGCTTTGAGAAAGTGGTAACATTTCGACCACTTGGTAGACCTCAGTTTCAATTTGTTGAAGATCGAAAACCTATTCCACCACCGGTAATGATATCAACTGCTAAGGCTAGGCGACTTATGAAACATGGATGTCAGGGTTATCTAGCTCATGTCATGGCCGTTGACCAAGGAAACAGTGAGGTTGATGCCATCCCCGTAGTTAAGGAGTTTTCAAATGTGTTTCCAGTTGAACTGCCTGGCTTGGCCTCAGTAAGGGAAATTGAGTTCACCATTGATCTTATGCCAGGAACCACACCTATTTCTAAGGCTCCGTATCGAATGGCACCTTTGGAACTTAGGGAACTTAAGGTACAGTTACAAGAGTTGTTGGATAAAGGTTTAATTCGCCCTAGTGTCTCACCATGGGGTGCTCATGTTCTTTTTGTGAAGAAAAATGACGGATCTATACGCTTGTGCATTAATTATCGTGAGCTTAATAAGATGACAGTTCGAAATAAATACCCTTTACTGAGGATTGATGACTTGTTTGATCAACTTCAAGGTGCTCAATATTTTAGTAAGTTAGATTTAAGGACTGGTTATCATCAATTAAGGATCTGAGATGAAGATATAGCAAAGACAGCCTTTCGGACTCGCTATGGTCATTATAAGTTCTTAGTTTTACCGTTTGGTCTGACTAATGCCCCTACTATGTTCATAGACTTGATGAATAAGGTGTTCCGACTGTTTATTGATCAGTTTGTGGTGGTGTTTATCGATGACATTCTGATTTATTCACGGAATGCAACTGAACATGAGGAACATCTAAGATTTGTTTTGCAAACGATGCGAGATCATCAGTTGTATGCTAAGTTTAGCAAATGTGAGTTTTGGTTGAAAAGTGTTAGATTCCTTGGCCATGTGATTTCGAGGGATGGTATTCAGGTGGATCCTACCAAGGTGGAGGTAGTTGTCGGTTGGAGTCGACTTACCACGGTGACTGAGATTCAGAGTTTTCTGGGCTTAGCTGGATATTATTACAGATTTATTGAAGGTTTCTCATCGATGGCGCTTTCTCTGACAAAACTGACAAGGAAGGATACTCCTTTTGTTTGGGATGATGAATGTGATACTAGTTTTGAGGAGCTAAAGAAGAGACTTATCTCTGCACCTGTTCTTACACTACCATCTGGTTCTGGAGGTTTTGTAGTATACACTGATGCGTCCCATAAAGGATTAGGTTGCGTTTTGATGCAGCATGGTAAGGTAGTGGCTTATGGTTCTCGCCAACTTAAGCCACATGAACTTAATTATCCCACTCATGATTTAGAACTAGCCGTTGTGGTTTATGCATTAAAGCTTTGGCGACATTATCTGTATAGGGAGTCTTGTAAGATTTATACTGATCATAAGAGCCTCAAGTATATTTTCACCCAGCGAGAGCTAAACTTGCGACAAAGACGTTGGTTAGAGCTAGTGAAAGATTATGATTGTCAGATTCTCTATCATCCTGGTAAGGCGAATGTAGTTGCTGATGCCTTGAGTTGAAAACGCTTAACTAGTGTGGCAGCTTTATCACTTCAGGTTGGTCAGTTAGCGGAGGATCTTAAGAGAATGAAGATTGAACCGATTGATCAGGGTGGAGATCATCTCCTCGCAGTCCCTTACAGTGCAACCTACATTGATTGATTGGCTTCAAGCAACCCAAGGTGAAGACCCGGAGTTAGTTCGGATAATGGATGGAGTACAAACAGGTACTCAACCCGATTTTACCATTTCTAACACTGGTGTACTTTGTTTTGGGACTCGACTTTGTGTTCCGAATGTCAGAAACCTACGGAGGGAGGTCATGGAAGAGGCTCATACTTCCCCTTTTTCCTTTCACCCTGGGAGTACAAAGATGTATCAAGATCTTCGTGAGAGTTTTTGGTGGGGAAATATGAAAAGAGAGATTGCCAAGTTCGTTGCTCATTGCTTGACTTGTCAACAAGTTAAGGCAGAGCATCAGCGGTCTGCGGGCTTACTTCAGTCACTCCCTATTCCCGAGTGGAAATGGGAGCATGTTACCATGGATTTTGTAACAAGCTTACCAAGGATTCGTGAGGGACATGAGTCAATTTGGGTGATCGTTGATCGATTGACGAAATTTACTCACTTTATTGCTGTTGAGAAAACTTGTACTCTTGAGCGACTTGCCAAACTATTTTTAAATGTGATTATTAAGTTGCATAGAGTCCCGGTGTCCATCATTTCGGATCGTGATCGTTGTTTCACTTCTCGTTTTTGGGAAAGCCTTCATAATGCTATGGGGACTAAGTTGAATTTTACCACAGCTTTTCATCCTCAAACCGATGGTCAGTCAGAACGCACCATTCAAATATTGGAGGATATGCTTCGAGCTTGCATACTTGATTTGAAAGATAATTGGGATAAACATCTATCTTTGATTGAATTTGCTTATAATAACAGCTACCAGGCTAGTATTAAGATGGCACCATATGAGGCACTTTATGGAAGGAAATGTAGGTCTCCTTTATATTGGGACGAAGTAGGAGAGCATCGATTATTAGGACCAGAGTTAATATAGATTGCGGCAGAAAAGATTTCTATGATCCGTGCACAATTATTAGCCGCTCAGAGTAGACAGCGGAAGTATGCTAATCCCCACATACGTGAGGTGACGTTCGATATTGGAGAATATGCCTTCCTACAGGTTTCACCTATGAAAGGCGTTTTTAGATTTGTGCGTAAAGGGAAGCTTAGTCTAAGATACATTGGACCATTTGAGGTATTGGAGAAAGTGGGCAAAGTTGCCTATTGCCTTGCACTACCTCCAGAGTTGTCTCACATTCACCCCGTGTTCCATGTATCCTTACTCTGGAGATATCGTAGTGATCCTTCCCATGTCATTTCTTATGAGCCTATTCAGGTTAAGGAGAATCCCAATTATGACGAGTACCCCGTTGAAATTATTGATCGGAGAGAGAAAGCTCTCCGCACCAAAACTATTTCCTTGGTGCGCGTGTTATGGAATAATCATGGTGTGGAGGAGTCAACTTGGGAACCAGAGGTTGAGATGCGCCAACATTATTCCCATCTATTTGACTCAGGTGCGTTGAGTTTAAGGGGCTAAACTTTTTTTTTGGGGGGAAGGATGTGAAATCCCATCCCCGGAATTTCACTATTCGTTACGAATCTCATATTTTAAATTCGTATTTCGTGATTACATTATCTTTATTAGTTAATTTTAATTCCGTTAATTTTAAGTTTAGTAATTGATTAGTTTTCGAGTTGGAAGATTCATAATCAATCTTTATCTTTCGTTGACATTTCGAAGTTACAACTAGTGTATTTTTTTTAATAGATCTCGAATCCACGAACGCATAGGCGAAAGCCGTTTGCGAGTCCGAATTCTAACGGTATAGTTATGGACGTTTGAAGTTGTGAAACTATAGATTGTGAGACTTATTTTAATTTCCACTTAGGAAAAAAAAAGGGCCCAAACATTTTTTTTGGGGTTAAAGGACCGGCCATTTAAGGGGAAATGGGCAAACATTAGATAGGGAATTGTTTCCATTTCGTGAACAGGCACCACAACACAACACTTTCAGCCAGTCCAAACTCAGCCATCTTCCACCATAATTTCAGGTAATCTTCAACCATCCCACACTTGCCACATCTTCCATCACCTTCCATCTTCCATCTCCACAAAAAAAAAAAATCAAGGGTTTTAAGGCCTAATTCGGGTGGAACTCCACAGGAAAGATCGGGGGGTTCTCGACAACGAATTGCCATTCTAGAGAGTATCACCATCCACTATCACCCTTAATCAACTTCCCTTGGACCCAGAAACTAGACCCAACTGGTGGTTGGGCGTTGGAACACCAATGAAGCCGAAATTAAGAACACCCATCTTAGGGTTTTCGTCGGGTGTGAGCCAATTTGGGGGCCTTCCCGGCCAAATTGGACTTGCACCCAGGTATAAAATTTACTTTACTTGTTGAGATCTTTATTTCTATAAAATTTGAGAAATTTTGGTGAAAGTCGAATTTTCCGAAGTGTGACATTCGAATTATGAAAATGTTGTTAGTTGAGTGTATTATTGATAAGGTCCGCCACTTGATCATTCTAACGATTGACGATCTTACCATTGAATTGACACCAAATTTTAGTATGCTATGGTAGATATTGTTTAAGGATCTTAAGGACTTACTAGTGAAAATCTAGTGATTGGATCTTACAGAGCGAATGACGTAAGATCATGGACCCTACCTCAGAATGACATTTTGATTCCTCATTAAATGTCATTTTAGGAGACTTATGAGAGTTTTGGGTAGGTGAATTTATCGAGAGAAACCTAAATGTGGATTTGTGCTTTGTTTTAGGCGGTGACAGAGCTTGATGCCTTGAATTACATGCTTGAGTGCGTTAGTGTGGATCTCAGGTGAGTGATTTTAATCTCTGTGGTATGATTATTACTTTGAAATCTTTCGGACTAATAAGCTTTGTGATTACACCATGGGTTCTTAAAATAGGTCTTATGTTAAATAATTGTTGTTGTTAAGTTGCCATCAATCTACTTATGAAACATTATGTGAATTGGATATTTGAAC